ACCGCCGAAAATAGCAAGATTCATGGAAGGATGCAATAATTATATAATCATCACTGCACAATTCCATTGTCTCAATATTAAAAAGATAATCATTGCACAATCCCCAAGCCTCAGTAGATAACATGAATGAAACAATCAATCATCATTGTATTCATGGAAAGATGCAATAATTATGTAATCATCACTGAACAATTCCATTGTCTCAGTATGAAAAAGATCATCATTGCACAATCCCCAAGCCTTAGTAGATAACATGACTGAAACAGTTAATCATCATTGTACAGGGAAGGATATCAGTCTTACAAAACCCGTGGAGCAGCAAGAGAACAGCAGGAGACGATGGACACTGGGCGAGCTTGCTCGCTGCAGAAGAGGGGAGGGCGCAAGATCCCCGCAGTGACGAGATGGAGTTTAGGGAAGGTGAGGGAGAAGGGGAGAGAGTACCTAGGGTTTCGCTGACCAGAGGAGCGCACGCTCCCCGGCGGAGGAGGCATCGAGGAGCCCGCGCGGAGGATGGGGAGAGGGAGGGGGCCGCCGGGCCCCACCCGCGTCGGCGCGCCGCCCGCGGGAGGCGCCGCCGCTGCCTCTGGAGGGAAGGGGAGAGAAGGAGAGGGAGGGGAGGGAGGGCGGAGGAGGAGGAGGGCGTCCGCCGCTGCCGCCGCCCCGCTCAGCCCCGGCGCCGTCGCCCGTAGCGTCGGGAGAACAAGAGAGAGAGAGAGAGGAGAGAGAGAGAGAGAGGAGGGGGTGAGAAGAAGAACAGGAAGGAGAAGCGGAAGTTCTTATATATATTTGATTCTCTTGGTTCTAACGACAAGCTGGAGAAGCACATGAGAAGTCAGAAACAAACGAAGTGCTAGAAGCGAGAATCGCTTCAAGCGATCTAGGCCGTTGAACGCGAGATCGGACGGCTAGGAGAATTAGGGTTGACGTGCTTCCGCGCGAGAATCTTGGTGACGTGGACGGGACTTCCGCGCGAGAATCTTCTGGAGCATGTAGGGTTAAATATGGAAGACGCGCCTGTGCTGTTAGGGTAGCGGCGCACGCGCCCGTAGAGGCAGGGGCGCGCTGGAATATTGTGAGCGTCTCCATCAGGTGCACACGTGTAATACTTGGCCCATATTGGCCCGTTCGCGTGCTCTTAAACCCGACTTGATCCGCTACTTTTTTTTATCCGGAACAGTGTTTTCCTCTCTCAAATTCCTCCAGATTCCTCCAATTTCCTCCAAACGAACGGGGCCATTGATGGGTGCACATGCAATTAGTGGGCTAGCACATATAGCAATTATGGGCATCCTAGCGCACGGACGTTCGGCGCGAGCGCCGTGGCGGGACGCCGCTCCCCTTCCCAAATCACCCCTAGAATCGGATCGGAATAGAATGGAATGGAATTGCGTCCACCGTGCCCCTGTCCTCCGTTCCCCGCCGCGCCCCTGTCCCCGTTCCCCAACGCACCTCGTTCCCCATACCGCGCCCTTGTTCCAAAGAGCACGAAACACTTCAAGTGCAACATCGCAAACATATGAAAAACTATGTAGTGCAACATCGAAAAACATGTACTGCAACATCGAAAATATGTACTGCAACAACAAAAATTATGTACCGCAACATCGGAAATTATGTACTGCAACATCTTAAATAGTAGTATTGCAACATCGCAAAATCAACCATGAAACATGAAAAATGAAAACATTCGAAAATCATATGCTGCTACAAGCCAAAAATCCCATTGCAACATTCGAAAATCATTTGTTGCAACATCGTAAAAAACCCATTGCAACACGGAGAAACAACAAGGGCGTACAAACAGCAAGGAGATGGGTTCGAGGTGCAGGCTGCTCCAGCCCTGGCCTATCACTTCGAGCTCGTCGAAGGGAGAAGGGAATAGGACCCTAGAGCTCGCCGGATCCCTCGGATCCAGAGGAGGAGGAGGACGAGGGCTCAGATCCAGAGAATGAGGAGGGCTCAGATCCAGAGAAGGACCAACCTACCTCATCGGAGCCACTGCCGTCATCCCTGTATCCTGTGTGGGGAGCAGGAGCCAGGTCGCTAGGAACGCGGGGTCGCGGAGGGGTGAGGGACGGAGGGAGGGAAGGAGCATGGGCGGGCCCAAAGAGCGGGCGGGCGGAGCGGGAGCGAGTGTGTGTGGGGAGCAGGGGGAGAGCGAGTGCGTGCGGGGGAGCGGGGGGATTGGTGCGTCCAGCCGCCCGGACACCCGGTTCATGTCATTATTGTAGCAATTAATGAACCAAACATCCAATGCAACTAGCAACGCGGGCCATGCCATGCAGCAGGCTGTTTTATTTTGCATATGTATCTTTTTTTCCCGTGGTCATCAGTTAATTACTTAAATTTAATTTTTAATAGTAGTTTTGAAACTTTAATTTTTCCATATTATAAATTTTATATAGTTAATTTTAAAACATACTATTAACTTTAAACTTTACTAGCACGCTACAAACTTTGTACGCCTAACTCCAAAACTTTATAATTAAAAGTTTGCACTTTAAATTTTGAACTATCACAATACTACCTTTGTACTGTTAGGTTCCAAACTTTACAGACAGAATTTCAAAATTGAACTATCACATTATAAATTTTGTATTGAACTATCACATTATACCCTGCGTTCGGCTGGCTGGCTGGGCTGAGCCCGGCTGGCCAGCTCACTCATCGAAACACTATTCACGTCCAGACAGAACAGTATTTTTCTCTCACAACAATCAGCGGAACAGTATTTTTCAGTCCTACCGAACAAGCTAATAAATTTTATACCACTAGGTTCAAACTTTGGGATTTTAAAACTATACACCTAAATTCAGGAACTTTATACTAGCTGATTTCAAACTTTGTACTCACATGCTATGAACTTTATACACCTAAAACAAAACTTTGTAAATCGAAACATTGCACACCAAGTTTTAGGACTTTGTACTACAACATTTGAAACTTTATACTCCTAAGTTCAAAATTGTATAACCACGAAAATTGCTTCAAAACATATCCAACATGGATCTAATTTTATAAATCTCGTCATAATGAGCGTAATGGTACAAACAGAATTAAAAAGATATGCTTGACAACAAAGTTATCACTTTTTAAAGTTTCCGTACCACATGCAGGTTCCACAGAAATAAATCTGACACAAGGATTCGCCGCTCTCCTTCCCTCGAGTCCACGCTCAGTCCCGCTCTTCCCTTGCGCCATGCGTCTGTTTGGTTTGGAGGACAAGGAACTCTAGCCTGTTCGGTTTGGCATATCGTTCAGTCCGGAATGATTCGATCCTAAGATCAAACCTAAAATGTTTGTTTGGTTTGCGTCTTCAATCCGTGCCGTCTGTCACCAAATGATTCTATTTAGTAACTTCTGCAAGCCAATCTCAGGAATCGAACCATTCCTACAAAAAAACGGCGGACGAGCGCATGCGGAGGGAACCCATGCCGGACGAAGTCAATCCATAGACCAAACACGGTGATGTTTTGATGGAAAGAGAGTAAAATCCCCAATGGAGATCATTTGTTTGATTTGCTCGTTATTAACATATTGGGCTGGACTCTAGAACGACGTGGTCTCTTCCCAGATGGAGCACGACGCAGAAGTGCTGAAGCCGGTGGCTTTACAATTCCATTAACAAGGTCGGAGGGAAGATGGAGATAATAGACTCACGATCATCTAAACATGGAGCTTGTAGCAAGGGTGACTGGAAGGAGCGCTGCATGGTCTCAGCTTTTGTGCTGTTTAGCCGATCTAGACTCGTAATAAAGTTCATGGCTATGATACGGTAGTGCTAGCGCCCGGACGTTTAGATGGACGTCCGCACCTCCACTTTGTTTCGCAGGCCTCACGTGGGGCCTACGCCGCCCCGAACGTCACCAGCATCGAGAAAAGAGGGAGGAGGCAGCGCCCGCCTATGCCTCTAGTTCGGATGCCCAGCCAGCGACCGGGAGGAGACACCGAGGCAAGGCAGCAGAAGGCAAGGAGGGAGATGCAACACCCGATCTACTTTTAAAACATCAGATGCAACCCTTAAAACATACGTCTGAAGATAGATGAAACACTTTAAACATGTATCTGAAACACTTGTAAAAACACCTGAAAAAACACTTGAAACCATTGTAAAACGTATGAAACATATAGACAAACACTTGCAACATATATATGAAACATATGTAACATCCAAATAAACACACTTGCAACATATTTATGAAAAAAACAGATGGAACATTAGGAACGGAAGCTTGCAACATACGTGTACAACTATTGCAACATATGTAATATCCCGATATATTTTTGTATCATTCATATGAAACACTTTCAACATACCTATGAAAAAATTGAAACACTTGAAACATAGGCTTGCAACATGCTCTTTTAGCGCAACATTTCCTTGCTGCTTGCGAATGGAGGCTCGTCGGTGCATGGAGTTCGTCGGTGTAGAGCTCGCCGGTGGCACGGAACTCGCCGCTCCGGTGGAGAAGGCCGCGGTAGGTCTGGTGGAGAAGAACGGCTGCGGCGGGCGAGAGGTGCAGTGGAGAGGGAGGAAGACCGGTTGCCACGCTTGGGCGCGGTGGAGATATCAGCCGACAGAGCATAGGCAAGATGGAGAGGGATGCGCAGTGGAGAGCACGGTCGTCGAGGCGGCGCGGCGGAGCACGGCCGCGGAGCTTGTCGCGACGCTGCGGTGATGTGAATTTTTTTAAACGGTTGCTAGGCGAGTAGATGAGCAGCGGACGCCCACTTCCCCAAATTACCGTAGCGAATAGGATAAACATAGGCTAGATCACTATAACAATCTATAGATATTTATAATATCAAATAAGTATTATTAGATTTGTCATAAAATATATTTTCATAATATTTCTATTTAGAATCATAATATTCGTTATAAACTTAGTCAAACCTAAAATAGTTTGACCTGACTAGATATAGAAGTACAATTTTTGAAGATAAAGGGAGCATATATTTTGACTCCTCACAATCCAATCCAATGCATCAACCAAGTGTCAGATCTGGTCTAACCTTGCCCACGTCTGACAAGAACTGGCTAAACGCCATGCGCGACGACCCACACCATCCTTCCAGACCATGTCCGCGGCCTCTTTGTGCGCTGTCTCACGAGCTCTAAGCTGCTCCCCTTCCTCAGACTCCATCACTAGCCTCACCTTGGCCTCCAGTTCTTCGGCCTTGACCAACCCATGCTGCCACCCGGCAAGTTCCACGCCGATCCCGATCTCCTCCACCATGAGCACCTTATTCATCTTTTGCTCCGCATACAATGCCCAACAGAGCATCGGCACGCCGGCCAACACAGAGTTTCACCCGCAGTGCGTTACGAACGCACCTGTTGCCTTATGACGGAGCACCTCCACCTGCGGCGCCCATAGATTGACGACGAGGCCACGCCCTCTGGTCCTCTCCAAGAACCCTTCCGACAGGAGCGTGTGGAGGTCCGGGTCGGCCTTGTCGCCGAACTCGCTCTCCGGGTTGTCGCCGAGGGGAGCACGCACCACTCACAGGAAACGGTGGCCAGATCTCTCGACGCCGGTGGCGATCTCCTTAAGCTGCATCTCCGAGTGGTTGCCTAGGCTTCCAAAACACAGGAACACAACACTATGCTCTGGTTGCTCATCGAGCCATTTGAGACACTCGTGCTTTCCTTTCGTCTCAGCAGCATCCTCGACAAGTGGCCCGACGCAGTACACTGGAGGCACTGTGAGCCCACTTTCGGCGAGAAAGTGCGGGTCCTTGAGGCCTGCCACTGCCCGGGCCTCTAGCGATGCGAACGTGTTCACCAGTATGCCACCGGCCTCCAGATTCTTGCCCAGCGAGTTTGTCACCGCCCTGTATATCTCAGTCTTGGGGTCCTCGAGCACTTCACGAACGAGGTGAGAAGTGTTGATTGTAATCCTTGCTAGATTAGCTTACCATATTTACCAGTAGCTATTTAGGCGCATGATCACTGATTGTGATTGTGTTCAAAGATCTTGATTAGTTTCCTTGTATTAGCTTATATAAGCATGGCAATACAATCAGAAACGTTGCCGCTTTGCAGCAACAGATCATCGTGTGTCCACTGTGTTCGCGTGTGTTGTTCATCTTCTTCCTCTCGCCGGTTCGGGATTCTAACAAGAAGCCGGCATGGGTGGGACGCCATGGAAGTTGACAGTGGCGTCTCCTAGCTCCTTGAAGCTCGGCTGGCCCTCCGCACGATGGGCCCAAGGGAGTTGGAGGAATACAGCGAGGGCAGAGGCGTTGGAGGCGAAGAAGCTGTAAGCCGGGATACCGAACTTGTTGGTGACGTCGAGCGCGATGTTGGAGTATGAGTCCAAGATCACTGCGTGGATGCTTCGCGGAGGGATGGAGCAGAGGAACTCACGGAGGTGCTCGTTGTAGCGCCGTATCATCTCGAAGTATCCGAGGAGCAGGTTGACGTCGTTGGTGACGGTGGGAGGATCGTGGATTCGAGGGAGCTTGTGGAAGGTGACCGCCGCCGGCTTGGAGGATGCGACACGGTCGACTGCGGCGGCGAAGGCGATGTTGTGTTCCATGGTAGCGTCGATGAGCGCGACCACGACGTCGTAGCCTTCCTCCAGGAGGACGTCGCCGAGCTGCATCATGGGGATGAAGTGGCTGGCGGCGAGGCCGGGGTAGAGAACCACGGTCTTCTTCATGGAGGCCAAAGATTTTCTGGCTAGCTGGCCGGCCGGGGGCAAGGGTAGCGGCCAAGATGAACTGCTTGCAGCTTGCTACGTAACCACGTTGAAGATACAGGGCCACGTTGAAGATATAGGGCCTGATCGGATCGTAGTAGGATTTTCATCGGTCCACGTGTACTGGGAAGGGCTAGAGCGGTGCCTCAATACATGTGATTAAGATAAATCTAACAACATCGAAACAAGACTTAAAGTTTAGGTAACTAAAATTTCAAAGCAAAACTTTAGTCAGTTAAAAGTTCTCCTAATTGAACTTTAGCTGGGGTGTTCGGATCTTTCAGCTAATAAAATCAGTTAAATTTTAGCTGGCTTTAGTTAGGTTGAAATGGCTAAACTCAATTAAACGTTGGATGGTTTTTTAGCTGGCCCGTTTGGATACCTCGCACATAAATTTAACTACCTAAATATTCTTAGCTGGTGTATCCTGACGCGAGGCTTTGAGCAATCGAATATTGCGTCGTTTCTGTGTAACCACTATACTAACCACCGTAGATTTATTGCGTAGAGCTATGCTCCCAAAGATTGCAGATTTGCAGTGTCTTCCCAGTGATTTCTTTATTTTCATATGATATTAGCATCGAACGACTCACCCTGTTTACTCGATCGTTTCTATGGCTTATAAGTCGACTGATGCTGTTTTATTATGAAAAAAAACAATATATCATAACATATGATACAGTATTTTTTCATCACAACAAATCAGTATACGTGGAGTTCAACATGGCCATGGACATTAAAAAGGCAGACGACATAAAAATAAAAGACAGACGATCAGAGACACACACTTGTCTGTACACACTGTTGCCACGTATTCACCATTTTAAAAACTATCGATATGGATAGAAAAAATATAAATATTAGACCGTTCGTTTTAGTAGTACAACTAATTATAAAATTATTTATCTTTGCGCTTTCTTTCCTTGTTTATTTTTTAATAATGCAATGCCTATAAAATACTCTGTAGTCTCTAGCTATTTATGAGGAATTTTTCATTTACTCCCTCAATTTTAAATTATAGATCGTTCTAGCATTTTTAGACACTTTTACTAAAAAGGAGGCGCTTGAAGTCCGTGTTTGGTTAAGTGACGCATGCATGGGGTCACTCGGTGTGGTTGGGTCCTGTGGCTCCTACGCCTCATCAAGACTATCGCTATTTTTTTTCCTAATGCATCAACTCTTCAAGTACTACCACACGCACACACTCACACACACGTCCTAGTGCACAAGTTAGACATACATCTATATGAAGAGACTGCACGTGGCTAAGAGGTATTCAAAGTATTCTGAGCTTCTAACGTGACAGCCACGTCACCATGACCATTGGCTTATCCATCTGCGACACAATGGAAATTATTTTTTAGAACAACTGTTCCCCGGAGAGGCACCTGCGCCGGCCAGCGCTCGAACGCGGGTGGGCTGCCCGAACCCAGTCGGAACTAGCCAACCGAGCACCCGCTTGGTCCTCGTACTATCGCTAGCTGTTTCAACGCTCGGGCACTGCTCGCCGCACGCTCGTACGCAAGGCGAGGTCTGGTGTCGCGTTCTACGCAACCTTGAGCTCGATTGGCTATCACCAACAGCAGAAGACACACTCCTGTCACGGTGGTTCAGAGCTCGGACCTTTTGACTCCATGGTGCTGCTCTGGTCTCTTGGCTTCTGTGGAAAGAACGCAACAGCCGCGTCTTCAACGCCTCAAGCTTCACCGCATTTACTCGCGACAACAGTGTTCGCTGAAGCTAGCTGCTGGATTGGAGCCGGGTACCAAGCACTGTCGGAGCTGTTGGCGCCGTGAGAGGTATGTGGCCGTACGTGGTTGGTGTCGGCAACATATTGTGGGCATCCAGTACGTGTCCAGAGCCGCGTGGGGGCGATGCACGTGTGTAGGGCCGGCGTGAACTCTCTTGTGGCACTTCGAGGTCATGTGTGTGCATGGAGCAACTCGACGGTGGGTGGCACTGGAAGCTGGAGTGGTCATGGGGTGTGCAGTGGTGCAGAGTGCCTCGGTCCAGCTGGGATTGGGAGCATTGCTAGATAGCCCCAGTTCGGATGCCATTCAACAATTATGAAGGGCAAAAGGTATATGCACAAAATAGTTAGCTTGAATTACGTAATTCGGCGCGGCTACTAAGCGGCCATCTCCAAAATTGATTTTTAGAGGCGAGCCTCTTAATATGTTCGTCTCTAATCTCTATAAATAATTACATCCAAAATTCATAATTTTTCTGTTTGAACTCAGATAGAGACAAACTTTGCATCATAATTGTAGCCCTTAACGCGATCTACAACTTTGTAGTTGAAATTTTTTGATTTAAAACTATTTTGAGTCCCAAAATATTATTCTAAGTTCATAGATTTTGAAATATGAAATTTAAAATTTTCAAACGACCTTAAATGTTGACATTGTCTATAATAAAGTTATAGTTCTTCATTTGAGTTTATTTAGTAGCAAAAATATTCAATACAAAATTATAAAATATTTATATAAAAAGATAGAATCCTATATATACTCACAAGTGATTGTATGGTACAATGTGTAGTGCATTGTTAGTGCTAAGTCGTAGGTCGTTAGTTTGAGTTTTGAGTAACACCAATTTTTTTTTGGTTTGCCAGTCTTTAGAAAGCTTGATTAACAATGACTCTTTGCCTCTGCCTCGGTTAATCCAAAATGTCCACCTCCAAAACTATTTTTTTCTAGTAGTGTACCTTGGTTAACAAAAAAACGATCTGTATCTGGAAATATTTTCTCTAGTAGTGTACCCATCAACAATCTAGACCTCCAAAATCCCAAGATTGCATAAAAGATTTTCTTGTGAGGCTCACATTCTTTCAACACTTAGGGTGCCTCCAATGTTCTAGCTTAAAGCTAGCGGATCATTTTTTTTAATTATTGAATAGTATAAATGGCAGGAGACTAGTGTGTACTGAAGAGATAGTATCGTCCTATTTCATGATGCATCTCTTTCTCACAGCAATATATTCAGAACGACTTGCTAAAGTCTATCTCGTATGGTCAAAATCTATTTTGTATGATTTTTCCTACGATCAAATACACATATTTAGAACTACCGGAGAGATAGTATCGTCCTATTTCACGATGCATCTCTTTCTCACAGTAAGATGCTTTGTTTGTATCTTACTCTCTCCATCCATAAACGAATGTAATTCTCGTTTTTTAAGAAGTCAAACAGTTTAAACTTAGACTAAGTTTATATAAAAAAGTGCAAACATTTATGATACAAAGTAAGTACCATTAGATTAGATATAGAATATATTTTTATATTAAATTTATTTGGATACATAAATGCTAATAATATTTGTTACAAACTTGGACAAACTTGAGCTTCTTTGAACGACACGCATCCCATAATTGTATTTTTTTTTGGACGGAGGTAGCTGGACGAAGGGAGTATTTATTACTTTAGAGCTACTCCCTTCGTCCACGAAAAAATGCAATTCTCACATGTCGAGAAATTAAACAGTTTTAATTTTGATTAAAATTATTTAAAAAATACTAATACTCTTGAGACAAAATAAGTATCATTAGATTAGTTAAAGAATATATTTTGATAATAAATTTATATAAAGACATAAATACTAATATTATTTACTATAAATTTAGTTAAAGTTAAGCTAGTTTTACTGATACGTTGCCCATGATAGCATTCTTTGGTGGATCGAGGGGTATCTTGGAAGCGCCCTTACATATCTTGTATATTTTTAATATAAAATAGCTTGTACAGGGCAGAAACACAGGTCAAACAAGTATAATATATTCTCTTCACTCGGAACAAGCAACAACAAGCTTGATTAACTGAAGTATATAAATAAAGTAATGCTACCACCAAATTATTGCCGCTCTGCATCAATGGCGTGTCACAGGCTCAGCCCCTGCGCGAGACGTTGCTTGCGTGCGACAGGAACTGGGCAAACGCAGCGCGCGACGAGCCGTCATCTTTCCATGCCATTGCTGCACCTTCCTTGTGCTTGGACACCCGAGCCCTCAGCTGCTTGCCTTCCTCCGACTCCATCACCAGCCTCACCTTGGCCTCCACCTCCTCGGCCTTCACCAGTCCCTGCTGCCAGCCGACCATCTCCACGCCGACTGCATATTCCTCCACCATGAACACCTTGTTCATCTTCTGCTCCGCGTACAGAGGCCAGCAGAGCATCGGCACGCCCGCGACAATCCCCTCCAGCACCGAGTTCCACCCACAGTGCGTCACGAACGCCCCTGTCGCCGCGTGATGGAGCACGTCCACCTGCGGCGCCCACAGCTTGACGACGCGGCCGCGACCGTCGGTCCTCTCCAAGAAACCCGCGGGCAGAAGCGCGTCGAGGTCCGGGTCCGCGCGGGGGTCGAACGGCTTCTCCGGGCCGTCGTGGGGAGGCGCCCGCACCACCCACAGGAACCGGTGGCCGGACCTCTCAAGGCCAGTGGCTATCTCCTTCACCTGCTCCTTAGAGTGGTTGCCGGCGCCTGTGCTTCCAAAACAGAGGAACACTACGCTCTGCTCCGGTTGCTCATCGAGCCATGCCAGGCACTCGTGCTTCTCTGTTGCCTGGCCGCCGTTTCCGGCGACCAACGGCCCGACGCAGTACACCGGAGGCATTTTTGGGAAACTCCGTGGATCGCTGAGGGCTGACACCGCACGAGGCTCAATCGATGCGGACGTGTTCACTAGTATTCCATTGGCGTCTTGTATTCTGCTCACCATGTCCATCGTTGCCTTGAACGTCTCACTCCCTGGATCCTCGAGCATTTCAGCATGGAGATGAGAAGCTGGCATAGTTGGGGCGCCATGGAAGTTTAGAGGCGCGTCTCCTAGCTCCCCGAAACTTGGCTGCCCTTCTGAACGAACTGATGAAGCCTGGACGGACACGGCAAGGGCGGAGGCATTCGAGGGGAAAAAAGCGTAAGCTGGGATGCCGAGCTTGCTGGTGACGTCGAGCACCTCGGTGGACAGCATGTCCACAAGCACGGCGTGAACGCTGCCGGGAGGCATGGAGAAGAGGAAGTCGTGGAGGTGCCGGCTGTAGCGGCCCACGAATTCCAAGTATCTGACCATGAACTTCGAGTCATGGACAAAGGTGGGAGCGTCCTCGGCCCGTGGGAGCATGTGGAAGAGCACGGACGGCTTGGAGGCGGCGGCGCGGTCGATGACGGCGGCCAAGGCGATGTCTCCTTTCAGGGTGGGGTCGATGAACGCGACCACGACGGCGTAGCCCTCTTCCAGGAGGACGTCGGCGAGCTGCACCATGGGGACGAAGTGGCTGACGGCGAGGCCCGGGTACAGGACCACGGTCTTCTTCATAGCTTAGTTTTTGGCCCTGTGGCTACCTGTGTAGAAGTACGTGCACCTGCTGCTGGTGCTGAGGAATTGGATCTGGGTGTAGCCCGAGTTCTTGATATATAGGGGAGATGGAAGGGAGAACGGTGTCGTGGAGGGCTGGAGGCAAGGAGCAAGGAAACAGTTGCCTGCATTATTGTCGATTGCAGACTGCTAGGGCGGCCTTGCAATGGTCATTGTCAACGCTCACTACCACAGTAACTTCCTTGTTTCCGTCACAATAACTGCAAGCCATAATTTGCTTGTTCATCGGTTGCTGTAGCCATAGTTTGCTTGTTCATCGGGTTGTTTGTGTTTGTGGTCACGTTGCAACTGGTAGTAGCTACCAAGTACCAATGCTGGTACCAGAATATGACATTGCAGTTAATCGGGTCCACGTTAAATTTCACGATCTTAGTTGATCGGTCATTCTCTTAAACAGTGGAGAAGCTTCAGCGTAAATCAAACATATATGAATTGGGTCATATATATTGTCACCAATCCGCCGGGATTCAGACAAGTTCTGGGGATAGAGTTCTAGGGAAAGAACAGAGTAGTCGGAATAGAGAGATTAGAATACAGAGAACAGGGTTGGGTTCAGAGTTCTTTTCATTTATTATATACTCAGATATCAGATTACTAGGTCCCAAACACCACGCCGTTGTCTACCAACAGCTAACCGCCTACAACAGATGTCTTCCAACTGATGTGATGTCAACCCAACCGACTCATCGTGCCTCCATCAGCCACGTCGGTCTTCTGTTGCCAGACGTGCAACAGTGCCATGCCGCTTCCCTGATTACCTGACATATATCTTCTTATTCTTGTTAGCATCTCAAGAGTTATAGTCTCTAGTTATAGTCTCTTTGTTTTCTGTTTCCCATCTCTTTGTATTTCACCATGTACTCTCTATATAAACGCTACATGAGATTAATGGAAAGTGAGTTAAGTTAATCCTCCAATATGGTATCACAAGGGTCACGATCCTCATTGGCATCGCATGGATTGCACCGTCAAGTCATGGCTTTTCGGCACGGTGTCGTCCGATTTCATTAAAGCCGTGTCCACTGCCTCCCCGACATCACGTACCATCTTGCTCGGTCTTGAAGAACAGTTCATCGGCAATAAAGAAACCCGTGCCATCATCCTTGATGCCGAGTTTCGGACCCTCGTTCAGGGGGATCTTTCTGTCACCGACTATTGCAACAAGATGAAGCGTATGGCAAATTAAACGCTCTAGAGACTTTGGGTGAGCCGGTCTTGGACCGCACCCTAGTTCTCAATGTTCTTCGTGGCTTCAACGAGAAGTACTCTCACAAGGCGGCATTAATGTAACACCCTAGGCCCGGCACACGGCACATGCCCACTCTACTAAGGGGTGGGCCTCACCTACGTAGCAACCCGCTTGTGTTTCCGTCCTTGCTTTGCGCAAAACAGTTAACCGAAGGTTATTACGCGTCCTTGGCCTGACTATTTAAGCTGGTTCGGCGAACTCAGAATTCACGGTATGGTACTAAACTTCACCGCTACCATGTTTCCCGCAGCTACAGTACTCAGTGCTACAATACCCCCGAATTCAGTCTGGCCCAACTTGGCTCAATGGACTGGGTCTCACATCCACCCACCCTCAATGGGTACGACGTCCTCGTCGAGCTATCGAACCAGCTTACCTATACGGGATAAATGTTCATGATCGACTCTCTTGGCCCATGTCCGTATTCATAGCTCCCCGGCCCAAGTGCCATGCTCTTGCAGAGCCACGCGCAACATGTCCGAGCTTCCAAGACATACGTCCGTGAAAACCGCGAGAGTTGGCTCTGAATACCATTTGTAACACCCCAGGCCCGGCACAGGCCCACTCTACCAATGGGGTGGGCCCCACCTACATAGCAATCCGTTTGCGCTTTCGTTCTCGCTTCGCGCAAAACGGTTAACCGAAGGTTATTACGTGTCCTTGGCCTGACTATTTAAGCTGGTTTGGGGAAATCAGAATTTACGGTATGGTACTAAACTTCGCCGCTACCAGGTTTCCCGCAGCTACAGTACTCAGTTAATCAAGCGCACACGCCCGTTCCCGTCTTACTCCGACGTCCGTGCGGACCTGCTTATTGAAGAAGTGACTCTCGCCAGCGAGTCCTCAACCGCGACGGCTTTTTGTGGCCTCCTCTTCATCATGGCCTCCTGCGCTCCGTCCTGGCGTCCCTCATCTCACCGGCCACGGCTAGGGCGGACAGGGCTGCCAGCTGCTCAGGCTCAGCGCACGGGGGTGGGGAGGGGGGCTCCAACAGACAGCGCCGGTGTTGGCGTTCCAACACGACCAGAGGCGGCCAAGCTGGTCAGACGCGCCCGCTTAGTCCTGGGCGCCGCAATGGAACCCGCTCACGGGGACCTTTGCCGTCCGGCCAGCCCGGTGCGCGTCCGCACCCCCCGCTCGCTCCACTGCCTCCTCATCATCAGGCTTTCGTCGCCAACGCGCCCGGCCAGCAACAGCAGTTCGCCGGCCAGCAGCATCACTTCACCGGAATAGTTTTACGTGTATCTTTTTTTTTTTTTTCAAATATCTATACCAGCCATATAAGAGCTACTAGTGGCGTAGGCAAATTGCATGGTTAGAGTGTCGTCTATCTCAATGGAGAGTTTTGTTTTTGATGTTTTTAAGAGGCTTTTTGGTTCTATGTCACCTTTTACCACGCCTTAACTGCGCACCGCCGCAACTCGGCGCAGTTGAGGCGTGGTAAAAGGTGGCGGCAAAATCCAATGCCACAGTGTGGCAAGAAAAAAGTTACGCTAATAAATGATGGCGGGCCACAGCTATGGCGTGGCGGAGTGTGGCTCCAATCCAAAGAGTGTCGGTTCATCTGGAATCATTTGTGATGATCATTGCTGGAATCATCTAGTAGTGTGATGAATGAAACAATGTCCATCAATGCATACTTTCAATTTTATTGTTTCGTATATAGGCTACTCAAAGCATTTAATATGTGATGCATGATTGAACGATTATCATGTGATATGAAACTTCTGCTCCTCGATTATAGATGGACATATGGGCCGCCTGGCTCGGCCAGGCACAGGCCCGAAAAAGCATGGCCTGATCCTATAGGACCAGGCACGGGCAATCATCGCTTGCCCAGACATGTGGGGTTTTGTGTTTCAAGGAACCTTGTCAGTGTGTCTTGCATATTACGCTCTCAATGGGCCTCATCCAGTGACGTGTCTTACGTACCGCACTCATCGCTAGAGGCACTAGGTAAGGTGTATGTTTGCCAACACACTTTTAGACGTCAGCCAACTTCAGGGTCAGCTCGACCGAGCTTGGGCCCAACCTTCACCGAGCGATCTACTTCTTACTCGTGTGCTAACCATAACATGCTCTAAGTAGTCTGGAAGAGAAATTTAGATGTGCTGAATTGATATGTTTGTCTAGGTATACATATTATTTATTGATAAATATTATTGTAAAGGAGAGTATACGAAAGATTAATCTCTGGATGAGCTCGTTCCTAATTATTGATTATTCCTTTTTTTTATAATGATAATAGATTGCTACGAGAGAGGTATAGAATTAAGAATGTTAGCGTAGTTGTACAAGTCAAATTGGAGGCATAATTCATATCAAGTTTGAGTTCATCTCGTAGTCCGAGCACCCGACACTAAAAATCATTGAACATGTCATATACGGACTCTGTTTTTTATATTTTGCATAAGCACGAAAGGCTAAGGAGAGAAGATTTCCATTGTGGTTCCACATCGGAAAAAAAATTTAGAGTCAATAGAGATTGTTGAAACAAGCGGATACACAAAATCTGTTAAATTGTTGTGTCACCGTTCTTTGCGCCACTGAGTCGTGTATTATGTCTGAGTCTATTAGAGACGATTTAGGGGTTCTTAGCCTCCCCTAATACAATTTATTCAGTAGTCATCTCCCCAGTTAAGGTTTGAGTTTTTTTTAAATTAATATGTCATCAAACGGTTTTGTTGATCATCGGTTTGGGAAACTCCAACATTTGAGCTTCATCTTATTTGCAATTTGAGTTGCGTCTATTTTGTTCTTGCTTGTGTTCTTGATTTGCAAGCAGGTATTAACCTTCGTGACGAAATCAAACGGACAATGCACGATTGATAACCAGACGAAATGTGGTGTTGTGATTGCAAGGATCGGGTCTTTATGATTGGAAGATGGATCATATATATGTTAAACGTCCACCAAATCATGAGATACCTCTACCTAATGGATCATCGGACACTTTGTTTTCCATCAGTTTAGTTTGAGGGTATGGTTGGATGGGAATGTGGGATATGACCAACCATATGGATCTTAAGATAGGATGACTCATACTTTTATCTCTTTGGTTCGATGGATGAGGCGATCTGTTTTTTGTTTGGCAGAGTTTATGGAGGAGTGAATGCGCGAGGATAATTACTAATAAAAAATACTAACAACTAATCATACCTTAATAACACATGCACTAACCTTATTTTTGTTATTATAGTTTTTAATTAAAAATAAAATATGTTAATTTGCACTAGTACTATACTAATTGGCGCACAAATCATATAATAATCAACATAGTAGCACTTACCAAAATATCGCCACAATTACTAAGTACTCCCTCAGTCCCCAAATAAATTAATTTGTAGAAAGATTGACTAACTTTATAGAAAAGAATAACAACATTTATGACATAAAATGAGCACGGTATGGAAATATATTTTGTGGTATATCTAATGATACTAATTTGGTATAATAAATCTTGATGTGTTCTTTCTGAAATTTGGTTAAAGTTTAAAAAGTTTTGACTTAATACAACTTTATGAATCTATTTATTCAGGGTAGAGGGAGTAATAATAATATAACAAGCCAATTTATTTACTAATAACAAAGGTTAGATCAAAGAAAGTTGCAGCAGGTGCTGATGAACAAATAGACTTATTGTGGTTTGCGATACAGCAGCTGACGAGCAAAGAAAGTTGCAGCCGCCAAGTAGAAAGGCTAATCATGACCAACTTAGGATTAATAGATTCGTCTTGCTAATTAGTCATCACTTATGCAATTAGTTTTGAAATTAGTTCACGTTTGATCCTTCTAAATAGCATCTAATCATAGTGCTAATTTTTTTAGCACTAAAGATCCACTAATAAGCGAGTTTGCGAGGACACAAAATAAGGGCATGTTTGGTTTCTGCAGGACCTCCTAAAATTCCTGTCGCATCGAATATTTGGACACATGCATGGAGTATTAAATATAGACTAATTACGAAACTAATTGCACAACTTGCGACTAATTTGCGAGACGAATCTTTTAAGCCTAATTAGTCCATGACGTGGTGCTACAGTAAATATGTGCTAATGACGAATTAATTAGGCTTAAAAAATTCATATCGCAAATTAACCTCCATCTATATAATTGGTTTTGTAATTAATCTATATTTAATATTTTTATTATTATCTAAATATTTGATGTGACATAAATTTTAGAATCGACTGGATAACCAAACGCCCCTCATTCAACATGTGCGGGCCGAAGAGAGCAGTTGGACGTGACTAGCACCGTACCGAAGCCATCGCCGTGCCGAGAGCGAGAGCGCGAGAGGGCTGTTTGCCATCGCGTGTAGTGGCGTGTAGTGCGAATGTGCGATGTACGCACTGCCATCCACTATTCTCCAAATCAAGGACCATTCGTGTCTGCAGCAGATGCAAGCTCGCTGCCATCCATAACGCATCGCATCGCTAATCGCCTATTCTCCCTCTCCCCCAACGAGGCAACGAACCGAACTTGCGCTACTCCCAAGCAGAGCAGGTGCTGCATAGGAGGAGTGCTAGGAAATTAAGCAAGCTAAGCCATGAAGAAGACCATCGTTCTGTACCCCGGCCTCTCCGTCAGCCACTTGGTCCCCAAGATGCAGCTCGCCGAAGCTCTGCTGGAGGAGGGCTACGCCGTCACGGTCGTCCTCGTCGACCCCAGCCTAAAACAGGACATCGCACTGGCTGCCGTCGTCGACCACGATCGGTCACCTTCCACGAGCTCCCACGGATCCAGGACCCTCCCACCGTTGTCCACGACGAAAAGTTCCTCGTCAGGTACTCCAACCTCATGAGCCGCTGCGCCAAGCTTCTCCACGACTACCTCTGCTCGACGCCTCCCTGCAGCGTCCACGCACTGGTTGCGGACTTCATGTCCGAGGGTCAGCCAACCATGAAGGAGCTCGGAGACACCCCTCCGGCCTCTCACATCAACAGCGCCGGCCTCGACGACCCGGAGCCAGAGAAGGTTCTGCAGCACGGGATACCGACGGCCGAGGCCTCGTCGTTAAGCTGTGGGCGCCGCAGGTGCAGGTGCTCCGCCACAGGGCAACAGGCGCGTTCGTGACACACTGTGGCTGGAAGTCGGTGCTGGAGGGGATCACCGCAGGGGTGCCGATGCTTTGCTGGTCGTTGTACGCGGAGCAGAAGATGAACAAAGTTGTCATGGTGGAGGAGGTGGGAATCGGTGTGGAGATGGTGGGGTGGCAGCAAGAGCTGGTCAAGGCCGAGGAGGTAGAGGCAAGGTAAGGCTTGTGATGGAGTCCGAGGAAGGCGAGCAGCTCAGAGCACCGGTGGCAGTTCACAAGCAGGCTCAAACTCAGCCTCGGGCTAGCACACCAGTGAAGTATTAGTGACGGGATGGTGGGAAACGGGAATATGCTACGCTGTGCTTGTTTTTTTCCCCTTCATAAAGCATGTGCCTTTACTTTTCTTAAGCTCTCAGCTTGGTAACGAAACAATGCGATACAGTTTTGCTAGTATTTCGTGCCCAGGTGAAAATCTTAACTGACTTCAGTCTCAATGGAAGTTAAGTTCTATGGACATTAAATAAGCTGATATGACCTCGAAAAAAACTGATATGGCATAGTTTAAATGAAGAGATAGATGAGTTTTATATAGATAAAACATATTTACATTGTTTCAAACGTCTGAGAGAGTGAGAGTCTTTGTAACGACCCAATGTCGTTCCAAATTTTAGCTCTTGACGACGATCCTCAGAGAAATTCCCAATTTAATTTCTCAAGGACCTCGAGTGGTGTCTCATCGGATTTTGGGATATTTCTATCCTAGCTAATGCCCCAATTCGCAACTCAGCCTAACCAGGCCTATCAAATCAACCCGTGGTCAACAAAGAACTCGTATCAAGAAAATACCTCTCGAAAAATGTAATCAGGGTACTATATCTATCTCTGAGTGATACATTGTATATTGGACCTTAAGGTTGGCCCCAATGTCAATATCTCCAATCTTTAACTCAATTTTTCCAAAACAAAGAATTACCGGAGAGTCCACCAACTCTATCGGCCGATAAAAATGCAGAGACAGCAAATTGAATGGAGAATGAGCTATTTTCCATTTATGTGGTGTGGCCCACATGTCAGCACGAAATGGAGATATTTCCCAGCATCTGAACCTCAGCTCTACCCATTCCCCTCTCATTCCACTCACTCCACCCTCTCTGTCTCTAGAATGAAGAACAAGAGAAAGGAAAGGATGGACTAGAGTGAGAACATGGAGAAGGTGAAGAAGAGAAGAGCAATCAAGCATACAAAGGGCAACAAGATCAGCTATGGATTAAAACCTTGAGCTTCACCAAATCTCTCATCTCATGATTAGCTCAAGAACTCTCTTTTCTCATTGTCTTGAGATCAATCCTCAAACCCTAACTCAAGTGCCTCTCATTGCATGGATGGATCATGAGGATTGTAAGGAGTTTCATCATCTCAAGGGTAAGGCTCAAGTGTTGCTACAACTCAATCCTATCAAGTTTTCTCTAATTTTTCTCTCATATGGATTTATGGAAGTTTTTGCAAGAAATGTTGGAATCCATCTCTTTAGCTTGGAAACAAGGATGTCAAGAGCTCAATTTTCAATCTTGGTGACAAGGAACTCACCAAAATCTCAAGCTAAGTTGCCATGCCCAGATCTCAAGCTCTTGTGTTTAGCATTTCTAAGTTAAATTTGAAATCACTAGTTGCATTTGTTAACTAAAGCCTAAACCCTAGGCATCTTCAGCCAAGCAAGCTAACTTAACCACCATAGGAATATCTCGCACATGCATGGAGCCCATATTCCTATATCTAGATGTGAATCACCAAACCCTCACCCAAGAAGTCATGAACATAGGTTCTGTCGCTCGTTTGACGGAGTGTTCGGTGATCCCAGAGTTTAACCAACAAAGCCTTTACACCTCTCGGTGTCAGTCAGCGAGTGTCCGCGGTATTCAGCGGAGTGTCCACCAATTTATAAAATTAATGTCCAGAAAACCTGAAAGTACCCAGTTTCCATCGAAGTGTCCGCGACATTTCGCGGAGGGTCCGCTGAATTATAAACATGAATTTTTAGAGAACCCGAGAACTCCTAGTTCTTACTGAAGTGTCCGATAATAGGCACGAAGCGTCCGTCAATAACTAGCTCTCCAGAAAATCTAAACCACCAGAACATTATACGGAGCATTCCACAGGCCACGGAGAGTCCTTCAATTGTTCCAGAACCAAAACAAAGACTGTTAGTCTCAGGAGCTACCCCAGCTGAGTGTCCGTCACATGTACCAGAGTGTCCTCTAAATAACAAAAGATGTAAATGTTGTCTAGAACCCTACCCTAGAGTTCAACAAACCTTACTCACATTAGATAACAAATAGTGCAATAGTAGAGCCCAGTTAGATGTCTCTTCCCAAGTTCCAAATCGTCATCTCTACCCTTATCTCCTTATCGGAACATGCGGCTATCTTCAATCCTCGTATCGTCTCTTTCAGGTTCGATTATTGTGTGAGGATCGTGTATAACTAATCATCGTCTTCCTCAGTCATCGAGACGGCACAACCTGGCAAGCACCCCACTACTATGAACTCTATTTTGTATACTCATTACTTGTTCATTATGAGTTGCATTCCATGTAGTTGTAAGTAATTACTTAACGATGTCTCATCTCATTAATTAATCTAGAGCTACTCATCTAAGTAACATAACCTCCTATCAACCAATGGGTTGGGATTCGTTAATGCTTAGATATTTAGCTTCACTAGAAGTCGAGTTTGAGAAGGGAACTCACTCTTGCGCATGTAGGATGGTACACCGGGTTAATTAAATATTAAAATCTTGTAAGGGTGACAACTTACGTAATTTCCCGATTTGACTAAGGACCCACTCCAATTTGGTAACCTAATTTGAGGATCAATTTTGATAACTTCTACTCATGCGAGGGGTAAGGTCACTGTGAGTGTGGGATTTCAAGTGACGTAGCCCGTGGAGTAATTAAGGGTTGTTCATTGGGATAGTGAGTTCGAGTAACCACACGTTCAGACCACATGTCGCAAATGGGGACGACAAGCTAAGTAACTAATTGCGACCGGTTTGTTCGTAAAATTGGCACGAGGGTGGCATGGGTAGATGGTGGTAGCATTACCCGGGAACTTATCAACCCTTTCATGAACGCTCTTGGCCGAATTAGGGAAAAGATGGAACCTTGAGGCAACCCTTATCTGGCCATGGGTATGGAGGTTCGTCCTTGGTGTTCGTGTGGGTACAGTTGTACACCTCTGCAAAGTTCATTCAAAAGCCTGTAGTCCTCCGGGACGGATTCATCAGTGGTTCTTACTTCTAGACCTATTGTAGTTCTTGTTGATGGACATACATGTTATGAGGTATAAACTTGATCATTGTAATTGCTCCAAATGCTTGCCATGAACTTATAATTGTTAATTAGTTTAATTATGAATCAAGGGCATATCATTCTTTAATCAACGCCATGCTTTTCCGCAAATGTACAAATGCCTGATAATCCCTTTTACATCTACCAAATATTTATTATTGGAATTAAGTCCCGCAAGTATGAAATGTACTCACGGTGCTGCCGATAAGTTGTTTGCAGTTACTTCGGCTTCATGACGATTGAGCCGTGCTCAATGAGCTGAAGAATAGTATACTTTGGAATGGGCGATTCCAAAGTGAGCTATGTTTGTATAAGAGTGAATAGGAGAGATCAACCTTGGAATGGGATTAAATTTGAATTGTAATTTCATCATTTGGTATATTTGAATTACAAATATCATGGAGTTTTCGATATTAAATGTAACATTTATGTACTATACATGGATTCAGGTGCTAGTTTATTATTTGGATTGCCATATGTTACTCAACCGTAAAAATATCCTGAAGAGGAGGAGCGGATGGCACTCTCCTGAGGGCCTCGCATCGGTCGGGACGCGTATAGGTTGGTCGAGAGGATGACACCTGTATTTGTCAGGCAGACTCGAGAACATTCCCTGAGACTGAGTTTGAGTCTGAGATTGGCCTAAGTGCTTTCGATGGCTCATGCCATAGCTTGGCTCGATGCACGCGTGTCATGCTTTTTTTTTTGCTTCTCTCAACTTCATAACAAGTACATATAATAGTCACATATTTAAATTAGATTTTAATTAATTTTTCATGTGAGACTAAACCTTCATGAAGTGCATGCTTGTGGTTGTGGCTCACCTTTCATGTTAAAAAACCCCACAACAGTTGTATACAGTAGCACCATATTTAAGTTGAGCCAATCTCATATCAGTTTACCACATAAAAATAATATTTTATTGCACTATTATTTATTATGGATCCTGATTTATTTGATTTAAGGTTGATCAAACATAATTATTAATCCAACAAAAATGCAATAACTTGTACTTGTGGGGTTGCAACATATGGATATATTTACTAGTAAGCTCATTACACAAGGATAAAAAAGGATTAGTGCTCTAAGCGCAGTTATATGCGAGAACATGATCTGCTTCTTGTTTCAGCCCATTGGCGGATCCAGGAACACCTAATTTTTTGACGCACTTTAATGTGCGTGTGCACTTTTAAGCTCATTACACCTAATATATAATGAAATATTCTCAGGTACTTTTGCTGACTCTAGCCTACAGTGGCAAAAAAGATGATCCAACGGCCTGGCTCCCAGCCTCCCCACCTCACAAGCTGGGCCACTGGACCCATGAAGCCTCTCCGCCTGAATGTTTTTTTATTTTTCAGCCTTTTTTAAAAAAATATTCACAAATAGACTTCGGTGGTCAGATTTTCGTTTATGGACCCTGACCTCGGCGCCGTGGCTTTTGGCGCCGAGGTCTTGGCGAGGCGTCGGACGTGGCGGTGACCTGGTGCCGACGTGGACAAGGTCTCGGCGCCATAGATCTTGGCGTCGAGCTGTTACCCTATAGATCTTGACGTTTGAAATGAAACAAGTATAATTATTCCGAGGAACATGGAACAACGTCAATGTGGTTTAACTGGTTAGGAAGCGTGCGACTTAGCTCAAAGGCTTGGGTTTGAACCCCAGCGCTGAACTTTTTTTGCTACATTTTTATAAGCATTTTTCGGCAACTTTGATGTTGGACAGATTTCCTACAAATTTGCAACGCTTCTGTCAGATTATTACCTGGACATCTTGTCTCATATTGCTTATTCTGTATACAACAACAACAACAAAGCCTTTAAATCCCAAACAAGTTGGGGTAGGCTAGAATTGAAACCCAGTAGAAGCAATCA